CCCCAAAACCCCAAAACCCCAAAACCCCAAAACCCCAAAACCCCATGAGAGTGTAAGGTAATAGAATTTAAAATAATTTTGAATATTTAATAAGCGGATCAATGGCATCAAAGAAGAAGTGACAGACTTTAAATAATACCCTCAATTCTCAGTAAGGAGTTTTATACTGGCTTAAGAGTTCGCATGAACTTATGTTGGGGTTTCTTGAAAAGCTTAATAATAAAATTTGAATACTAGCTCAATTTATCCATGAATCTTGGCAACATGGATAGATTTAAAATATTGCATATTCACTTGTTGTGGTCAAGCTCTAAGAGCATTCTTTTCTCATGTTGATGAGAGCTAATAAAGCAATTTAGAGAAATCTCAGGAGCAGATAAGGAAAATCTTCAAAAGACCATCAGACACCATATGAGGTTGAGCAGTATTGACAGCAGAGGAATGGATGAAGATTTTGACCAGAGCTGACTCAGCCTCCTCTCAAAATTCCCAAAGATGTCCAATCTTATGAACCTCGTCAATTCCAGTGTGAGCAAGGTAGACATGTACAGGATGAAGCTCAAGCTTGCAAATATTGAAATTAGTGATCTTAAATAAAACCTTGAAACAGATTCAGAAGAGCTATATAGATGTCAACAATGTAAGTTCTCCTTTAAATTTGTAAATTTAATTTAAATCTAACGGTATAGAAAGCTTGATGTGACAAAAAAGATTGTAATTGAGCAGCTAAAAGATTCTGCCCTATCTGTAAAACCAGTTATGTTGACAAAACCACTGAAAACTTCTTGAAAATGGAGCAAGAGCTAGTCACTCTGAAGAAGAAGTTCGAAATCATTAACAAGGAAAAAGAGAGGAAGGAGGACAACTACCAAGAAGCGGTGATGATCAAAAATGATCCTGATAGCTACATTAGCAAGAAATTGGATGAAATGAAAGTAGAAATCAAGCATCGAATAAAAGAAAATGAAAGACTCCAGGTTTTGCTACAAGAGAAAGAATCTACTATTCGTACTATCACTGTGGCTCACACTGAGTTTAAATATCAGCTTGATACCATGAAGGAGGAGTTATTTTATAATAGAAATGAGAAAGAGAATCTTTCAAGAAAATTAAGTAATATTGAAAAGAACGATAATAAAACAGTAACCATCCAGAATGAAAGTCTGAAAGATCAAAACAGAAAGCTCCTCCAAACCTTGATGAAGCTACTGAAAACTAATGAGGAGGTAACTAAGCCCTCTAACTCGAAGAAGACCGTCAAAAGGCCTTTATCAAATAGCATGAAGAATTCCACTGTTCTTCTAAGTAATATCCACAGATTAAGTTCTCCATCGCCAAGTAAATAGAAGAAAGTCTAGTAAAAGAAAGATTAAGAAGCGTAAGATGTCAAGTGGAACAAGGAAGCCTAAATATTTCAACAAAGGAAGGAATATCCATCCAAGCGAGACTTCTCCTTTTTCTCTGATGTTCAACCAGTTGACACCATTAATGAGCAACGCTCATGACAAAAACATTCAGATGTACTCCCAACATTTTCGGACTGAAAAACAAGATCTTCATGACGCGAAGGTGAAGATTAACAACCTCCAAATGTACATCGGCAGTCTCAAGAATGAAAATAGGAAAATAAAAGAGAAATTTAAAAAGGTTAGGAGAGCACTTGAAAACGCTAATGCAGAGACTTATCGGTATAATTCCAATTTATTTTTAGAGCTTATGACCAATCCAAATTTTTCTCTCAAAAGATCCATGATATTGTTGAAGAGCATAAGAAGAATACTTCTTATGCAGAAACCTTAGAAGCCTTAGTCAAAGCTCAGAATTGGATGCTGGACAGCCTTAAAGAAGTAGCAAGAAGTGCAAAGAAGGATGCTAAAGGAAGAGTTGTCAGATTCAAGCAAGATCTTCATGATTATAAGATCAAACTCAAGAACTCATATGACTCACTGGGTTTTGGAGATCCGACTGCCTCCTTAAGTAAACAACATTAATAATGTAATAGATGGATCAAATGAAATAAAATCAAAAGAATTTAGCCGAAGTGGAGAAGAAAATGACTATATTCCCCAAGGTAAATTCCTTCAATAAAAACTCCAGAGAAAAGCCAGTTGTTAGATCTAAAGATTCGCTTGCTCAGTGAAGAAGAGGATACTGAAAAGATTGAGATAGAGCCTAACCCAGATGAAGGATTCATCGGAGAGAATAGTGTACTTGAGCCCTTGAATAAAAACCACCAGGACTCTCAAAAGACTAATGAACCTATCATTCCTGAAAATGAACTAAGCTTCTTGAATAATTCTGATTGAGGAAAAGTCACCCCAGAGCTGTATAAGAATATGAATGACGATTCAGATGAAGAGGAAGATAGCCAAAAGAGCAATAAAAAGAAGCAAGAAGAAGAGAATAGTGTTGGTAAGTCTATGGAGTGAATTTCTAGTTGAAGATGATAATGATGAATATCATTTCAAGCAAATGGCAGGAATGGAATATCCTGAAGATGATTCTCGAGACTAAGGGATTTCGAATATTAACATATCCCTTCCATCAATATATTCTATTCAACTTGAGCATTAAAAATTGGGGTTTTGGGGTTTTGGGGTTTTGGGGTTTTGGGGTTTTGGGGTTTTGGGG